TAGCCAGTCGTCTTTTTGCGGCACCATGATCATTTAGCCAATACGAGACTTCTCGATCTGGTGAAGGGACCCATCACAGAAAGCGTCGGGACTGCCATATTCCGAAATTAGACATGTTTCATGCGTCACACTAACAAATTTTCGAATATACGTCAATTCTGCCGCTTGTATCCAGTATCACGCTTTCGATCAATGTCTAGTACTCATGGCTGTCGGTAAGGGTATGTAAAAAGACTTTAAGGCAGATGGCTTAGAAATTCTGTCTTTATTGCCACAGACCGTTTGGCTCCAGAATTATTTCTCTCACAGAGATGCTTCACGTGTTTATTTCCATGAAATTAGTCGCAAACAAAAACTGAAAGCATATTTTATGCTTTGAATTGAGACAATTTCTCAAGTTTAGAAACCATGAAGTATATGAGGTACCGCAAGTAGCAAACAAGACATTAAATATTTTCTGCTGTCATGTTAGCAAAAATGACGATTGATGACTTTTAGCTTAGTCAAAATTAACTTTGACACCCGCTCTTTCAAGTGGTCACGGACGAGCTGTTCGCTTTTCTGAAGCAATTTAAAATTTTCTCTCGTTCTTTTAAGGCAGCAGTGCACACGACGCTGTTCCCAAGATAAGTTGCGCCAGCAGGCCTTCGATCTCACCAAGTCGTAGTGCTGCCATCGCCTTTTTAGGGGGTCGATATTTGAGGCACAACTGATAAAGTTCTTCAACACATGTTGTTCAAAATTTCGTCGATTTGCTCTTTCCTGACATGATGACAGCAGCCTGTCGGCCCACTCACGCTGAACGCGATCTCTCAACTTCCTTATGTACAGCTTTTGACGCAAGTACTGACTACTGGGGGAATAAAGAACAGATTTGCTTTTGTGATCAGCTTCGCTTTTTCCTCTAACGCCCTTAATCATGGAACGACCCGTAAGTACGCATGGTTTGGTTTGATCAGTGAATTTGACACCAATCGAATGAGAGCCAAAGCAATTGTACAGAGTTCGGTAAATGTCCAGCAGCTTGTACCAGGCGACCATACGCTTGGCGACAAGATCCTAAAACGGATGAATGTGTAGTGCGCAAAACCTGAAGCACGAAAAATCGTAAATTTACCTCGACTCGCAGAAAATCTGTCAGATTCGTGTTGAGGACCTCCGCACTCAAAAATTGGAGAATGAAGTTGAATATTTCCTCTTCATTTTCCTCTTCAACAAGTAAGGACGTGTTCTCGTCCAAAACGGTATCGCAAACGGAAGCAAGTAAGGTCATTGCTAGGCTGCCTAAATGTAAAAGTAATAAACACAAAAAGTCAAACTTTCATAAAAGAAAGTACACAACAATGTGATTCAGGACGACAAAAAATAAGCCGTTTGTTAGGTGACCAATCATGAACGTTTTACAGCTTCTGTAGCATCAATGTAACAGAATTGTCAAGATTTTTTTCGCAGCGGAAAAAATTAGAGTAAATATGACGAATTGAAGCATCACAGTTGGATAGAGATAAATAATCACATAAAAAATTTGGCAAAATGTAAATAGAACAAAATTACAAAAAAACAAAAATAGAAAATTCGACGGTTAGACAGATGTTTCTAGCTTCGAACGCTAAGCAACCATTTTACTATGGCACGATTCTAAAATCTGCCAGTAGATGATTTTCAATTTTACAGGATTCAGTGATTATCGGCGAAAATATGATTAATCTATAGCAAT